TTCGCTGGTCATGTTAAGGTTTTCACACCCTACACCCTACTCACACCAAGTGGACATGGTTAAAGCGCGAAAATGAAACAAACTCATCCCCCAACTCCCCCTACCGGTATATCTTGGATCCCTAGACCTAGCCAGTGGGTATTTTCAGTTTTTATTTCCTTCACAAATACAGAAGTCAAACTCATTGCTTACCTGCCGTCAAGAGTTTTCGACCAGTAAGAATTCAAAAAAATCGCCGTCTCCTCCAGAAATTCAGGACGATTTCTCAAAGGAACAAATAATAAATTCTCGATTGTCATTTCAATCGGCCATATTGAATTCTTACGACCGAAACCGACTGGGAACTAATTCCTTCCCAGCCGTAAACCGTCAACCGGCGAACAAATCAGGTGGCGAGACACATACCCACTTTGGTGTACGGTTTCTTTGAAATTTTTCAGAGGATATTGCAATATTAGAGTTCGTTACTGAAAACATGTCTGCAGGTGGAGAGAGACCAGAACCTTTATCAGGAAAGGACGAAGGGTATGTAGTTTTAATAATCTCGTATTTTTAGGTTTGTACTTTGAACGGAATCGGCCCATCATTGTCATGAAAATAACTCACTTGAAAAAGTTTGATAAAATGAACAGGGAGAAAAATTATGTTCTCCGACCTCCTGAATGTCTCATAAAAATAATATTTTTCGTATCTTTGTGAACTCTGTATATTGGTTGGCTTTCTAAACAAAGTCATTAAATTAGAGCATGCATAGTTATTAGAGGGGGACTCTAGTCCCCCTAATCAATTTATACCACTAATTAATTTTTACCACACTGCTCTTTGCTACAACACACCACGGCTTGCTTAAGAGGTTCTTTTCAAGCAACCAGGAGACATGGGGTGGGAGGTGTTGGCAAGGAATGTATTGAGTTAGGGGTTAGGGGGACTCCAGTCCCCCTCTAATAACTACCATGAGACTGAACAAGAGCAGGGAGAGGGTTACTCTTCTAATCTTTGGGGGGGGGGTGGTTGATGCCGAAATGATTAAACTGATAATACATAGATTAAGCTAAGTCTACAATTCGAGCTACAGTGAATCAATTTTTACCACACTGCTCTTTGCTACAACACACCACGGCTTGCTTAAGAGGTTCTTTTCAAGCAACCAGGAGACATGGGGTGGGAGGTGTTGGCAAGGAATGTATTGAGTTAGGGGTTTTTGCAGTAGTTAAAGAACAGGCTCTTAATGATTTTTTTTTTAAAACAAACTAGGGGTCGCCATCACTAGGACTAAGTTGAAGAAGTGATGGTTGGGTGTCATCAATGAGCTGGAAATTGTTCAAATAGTCAGAGGAACCTTCTAAAGAGAGGCACACATGTTGTCATCTTGTTTTGCAAACACATGAATCAAACAGTGACACTTCTCTGTAGGATTTCTTGATTTTAATTAGCAGTTTGTGCAGATAAAAATAGGCAGGTATTCAATAAATGACTCATCAAGAAGAATTTGTCTTTTGTTTGACATTGCAGGACCCATGTTCTTTCCTTGTTCTTCAGTGCTAATTTAAGATTTTTTTTTCTTACTAATCATTTTGTTGTATAGATCATTTGCTTATCTTACAATTCGAGACAGACTGCCAGTAATTCTGACCAAAGTCATTGACTTGGTGCATAGACAAGCATCAGCATTGTCGGAGTCCAATCAACAGGTGGGAAAATTAATACAAAGCTGATACCACCAAATGTGGAATAACTGAGGGATGAGTAGTAGTGAAACAGAGTAAATTGTTCTGTTCAATAACTCAGCCAGGGCTTGTCGACTTAACGATTTGGAGTCCAAGGTCCCAGCCACTTGACCTTCATGTATGGATGACCAGCTCCATGGTTTCTTTTGGAAATTTTAACAAGAAAAAAAATTGCATGGCATTTTCACCAATACAGCGGAATCCCAATTTCTCGAACCTCCAGGGGAAACGCAAATTGGTTCGAGAAATCAAGAGTTTGAGAAATCAAGGGTGAAATTACAAGTGAAGTAAATCCAAGGGAAATAAGGTTTGGTTTGAGTTATTGGGAGGTTCGAGAAACCGAGGGTTTGAGAAATCGGGATTCCACTGTATATGACAAAAAGCAGCTTAATTGTCATGTCCACCCTCATATCGGCCTTTACATTCTCCACATTGTTCTCCTTATATTTCTTTTCATACTGAAAAGAGAGATTGATTGACTCTGACAAGCTTCTTAATTTGGTGATCATTTCCTTTATTTTCATGACATTCACATTTAATTTAAGGGTGACACTAATGGAGAATTTAAAAGCCACTGTCAATTTCAGTTTGTTTACTAGCCAAACTGGCTAGTGGAAATTGAAAACCACTAGCCAAAACTGAATTTCTACTAGTCTGTTGGTAGTTGGCTATCTTTAGTGTCGCGCCCTGTACTGTTACTCATAGAGGTTAAAGAGACTTGTCAATATGCTTTTAGCCTGATTTTTATCTTGTCTCTATGTTATTTTAATTAGTTAATAATTTAGTTCCATTCTTCTTATTAATTATTCAGTCTTAGTTAGCATATTGTGGCTGAAAAGCCCTGTCAAGGGAGCTTCAATAAAATGTATGTATGTATGTATGTATTTGTGCCCTCCTTGCTAATTATTGCCATTTTAGACTAGTCTGAAATACTGGCAAACTATTAACATTTTATGCAAAGGACAAAAAGAAGCAACGTTCATAGCAGTATTTTTCATTTAAAAGATGAACAATGAAATATTGAACACTTTGTCATTTTAACAGGAAAAAATTGAGGACAGTAAAGGAGTGATAGCAAAACTCTCTAAATTAAGATATGAGATGAAAACTAATAAGCCACTGACCCAGATGGAAGATGATCGGCCAGATGTGCAAATTTGGAATGACACCATTGAGAAGGGTAAATCGCTGGTTGATCAAAACAAAATTACTTCTTTCACTGGAGCATGGTTGATTGTTGAGTGCTATATGTATCGTAAGATCTATGAAGCCTTTGCTTTGAGGTAGGTAGAACGTGGTGAAGGTCGATGAAACACCCCTTGGTGAAACTATTTCTATCAGGTGAATGAATTGATGAAGGTGTCCAAGAGAAGGATGTGGGATGGGAAAGGCTTTGTCCGTGGGAAAGGGTGGGAAAGGCTTCATCCGTGACATGTGATTAAGGCCAAAATTGATATATTGTGTTGTGTGAATTTTACAGTAAGAAATTCCAAAATTTCCCAAAAAACTCACACACAAGTCTTAGAAAAGATATTTAATTAAAGTTTTCCCTTTCAGATTCATGATACCTGAAATGCTGTTTGAAGTATATGTGATACATGAATTTTTGTAGAATTTCTGTGTGAAACAGGATCAGGGCTTTGCTTTTCTTTGCTACCCTTATAATACTAACATTACTAACCACTGAAAGGAAAATGACTCTGGACACTTCTCACAATACCCCAAAAACTTTACTTTCAGTACACATTACTATTTATTTTATATAATATTTAAATTTAGTACTGTTAATATTATTTGGTAGCAAGCAGCACAAGTGCTTTGATCCCTTTCAAGACCAGAAAGAAGAATCCTTTAAAGGACTTCAGAACTCAGCAATTTCCCTGGCTCAGTTCCTCAAACACTCCATACATAATTCTGGTGGTGATGGTGAAGAGAAAAGAAATGTAAAAAATGTGTTTGATACTCTGCTTCAGGTACACGCTAACAATTTCTAACTTTGGGTAGATCATTAAATTCAGACTTAGGTTTGTGAGGTCATTAATTTACATGGTTGCAGGCCATATCAAAGGCCTGTTTTTTTAGTTCATGAGCATGATGATTTTATATGCACGAAAAGGAAAGGATGGTTGGGATATTGGCTGGAGACAAGAATAGAACAAGTACACTTAAATCCCTGTTTATTTTTTGTTCTTCACATAACTCCAATTGAATTCACGACAAGCTGAATTAATTCAGACATGAATGTTTCTTCTCACAGAGCATGATACACCGATGTTCCATGAGTAGTGTTTAAGGGCAATAAAACTTTSCCTTGGCTAATGAAAACTATATTGATATATTTGGCTAGGAATATAAATCTAATAGTCATAGTATTCTTTGCTTAGCCGAATGTGGAGAACTTCTAAGCTGATCCAAATAAGCCATTTCTACTTTATTCAGATGTGATAGTTAAAATTAAAGTTAGTGAAGGAGTTTTCTTTAGTTCACATGAAGTACAGTGTCTGAATCAGACTTGAGTGTACAAAGTTTAGTGACATTCTCATTGGTGTAATTATAATGCTCTCAAGAAATGAAGGACACTAATTCTCTTTAAGGTTTTCAATTTTCACTTTCTCGTGTTATTTCCCATACACAAAGTTTTATCATACCCAGTAGTTCAGCAATACTTATTAGTTTGGTTTTGTTAATGTGCATCAAGTCCTATATTTCTTTGCAGTTCTGTTTGTGGGGAAACCGTTGTGACCTTTCTATCTCTAGTGGTGAAATCACACATGAGGAGGGAGCAGGTCAGACAGCTCATCTTCAAAGAATGAAAGAAAACATTATTGTTGACAATTCTCAGGATGTCTGGAACACAATTCAGAGCAGTGAAAACCCCAGGATTGATTTTGTCCTGGACAACTCAGGCTTTGAACTTTTTACAGACCTATGTTTTGCAGAATTTTTGCTGCATGCTAATTTGGCTAAAGAGATTCACCTGCATACAAAGCAAATTCCATGGTTTGTTTCTGATGCCAGCAACAAAGATGTCATGTGGATGGCACAACAAATGAAAGGTTCTTCAAACAAGTGTTTATCAGAACTTGGAGAGCTCTGGATTCAGCGCTTCCAAGATAGAACATTCATTCTTCAAAGCCACTCATTTTGGACACAGGCCCAAGATTTTAGTGAAATGAAAAACGTGGCCCCTGATTTGTATGAAGAGCTTTCAAATGCAAAGATTGTATTTTTCAAGGGTGACCTGAATTATCGCAAGTTGGTTGGTGATCGTAAATGGAATCACACAATTCCTTTTACACTCGCCCTCTGGGGGTTTCTGCCAGCGCCTCTGTGTTCATTGAGAACCCTGAAGGCTGATGTTCAAGTTGGATTGTCTCCAGGTCAAGACGACAAACTGCAGGCTATTAATAAAGAATGGATGACATCAGGGAGCTATGCTGTCATTCAATACGCCCACCACTTAGACTGATCACTTCCAGTAAAAGAAAGAGATTCAGTCAATGAAATTTCACCTGATAGACTCAAACTTTTCTTAACTTAATAAACAATAAGCAATTAATGGCATCAAAAAAAATGTGGGTCTTTGGAACTTTTTAGTAGTCAGAATATTTTGTAGTTATAACCAGCCAAATGGGTTATTTTGTGCTCTGATATGTCTTGGAGTCTTGAATACTTGCTGTAAGGTTATATTTCCGACAAATAAAACTTTGGTAGCCATTTACTTGCAGTTGGTATTGCCTGTTGTTAAGAGTCATTTGAAAAGTGGTTTATTTGTGAATTTTTTATTAGATTAGAAAAGCATAAATTTAATGAAGCTGTGAAGATTGTTCATTTCAACAGCAGTTTTTTATCAAAAGCTTTCGTTATTTTTTTTTTCAACGTTATTTGTTTGATAACTATTGTATTGTTATCTTTATTGCATGGGATATATTTATAAATGTATTTCCACTGTAAACTACTAATCAAATTGTAGGACCTACATTGATAGCAGTTATTTTATAAAACTGATGCAGCAACCCTGTATAAATGTTTAAGTTAATATTACTATTATTATTATTATTATTGTTTGAGACTTGTAGTTGCTGCTGTAACACCATTTCAAGTTTTATTCTTATTATTTTTTTTAACATAACTCAAAATTAGAATACCTGTATTTAAGTTTACTGTATTTATCCTTTACTTCATATCTTTGAAAACCTAATGTTATGCCATTAATAAATGAATTCAGGGAATGCTGATACACCACTTTCATGAGTTGACATGGTGACTTGTCGTTACATGAAGCCCTACTTAAAACTCAATTGCTTCTGGTATTTCTAATTTATTTTTGTAAGTTGAAGTATTTAATTGTGGCACAGGTTCAATAAAAGAAAAAAACTACAACAGTCTCCTACAAAATTCTAACTAAATTCACCAGTAACTTCAGCAGTCCTCTCCTTTACCATCCAACCTTGTTTTGTACTTAATTCTATGCACATGTGAGGGGAGTGAATTAGGAGCCTCTTCCATGCATTCAGTAAGAAAAACTGTGCTTAATCCATGCAAAATGGTACACAGTGCAACAGTAACCACCGAGTGAAAAACAAGGCAGATGTAGGTCAGGGGATGTAATGAGCAGAGTTAATTACACAGCCAGAAAAGGAAGGAAGGAAGGAAGGAAGGGAGGTTTAAATCAGAAAAAAGAGTGTAGCTTCATGGAGCATATTTCTCCTCTGAGTGAGTGTGCTGGGACACCACATGAGAAGAGAAAACATTTTATTATCACAATATTGATTGAGACATGGAATTTTTTTCCATGCAATTGATGAATACTACTAAAAAACTATATCAACTTGATTACTCTTCATTTCTCAACTACAGTGTAATTTTCACATAATACAGCTATCTAACTATGTAATCATTCAGAGACTTTTACAATTCATCATTCCTGAAGAACTTTTTGTTTCGTGGTGAGTCAATATATATCAGTATCACTACCCTTTTATTGAGAGAGAGAGATGTGAAACTCATTGGGCATAACTTGTCAGTTTCTTTTCAATTTCATCAATACTTGAGAGAATATTTGAGAGCTGGGATTCATCCATTTCAAACTGGAAAACATCTGTTTCCTGAAAAAAAAAATGTATATCACTGGTACGGCAGCAAGGAGTAAGACATTTTCATCTTGTCATGATCATGCAACAAGGCAAAAAGTTTAAGTCTCAGTGAGCCTCGGATTCTGCACTCCACTGCTCTACCACTGAGCCACAGAGAGACTATTGTGAGGCGTGAATAGTCCAGTGGTCAGTGCACTGGACTCTGGGTCAGATGGCTCAGGTTCAAGCCCTTGCCAGGGCTTGACATTGTGTCCTTAAGCAAGACGCTTCACTCACATTGCTTCGTCTTCCCGGATAGGATGTAAAGCTGGAGGCCCCGTCCCCTGCATCTATCAATTAGTTAATTTCAGCAGGGGACGTTAAACAACCTACATCACGAGATTACTGTGATGTTGTCTAGCCTGTTTACTGGGAATGGGAGGGAGGGGGCATCTGTAAAATTTATTTAGTTATTGTAAACTGCTGCCGGCAGTCTGGAAAAGTCCCCCGCACAGTGTTGTAAAGCGCATTAGAGCATTCCATGGAAATGCACTATAGAAATCGATATACATTTATTATTATTATTATTATTATTATTGTATTAAGCCGTTAAAGCATTATGTGGTCTACATGTGACATGCAACCCCAAATTCCAAAGAGTGTTGCATTATTTCCAGTGCATATAATTTACTTCCTGTTCCCTTTGTGCTTGCTCTGGACACTTTCAAATGGTGGAAATTCTTGCTCAGAATAAGAATGCATGTCCTAGCTACTTCATTTTTGCCAAATTTTCCAGGGGAGCATGCCCCCCTCCCCCCCCCCCCCCATCTCAGGAAGGTGATACCCACAGTGTCACAATCAAAGGCTATGTGATCAAAAATCTTACTGTTCGCCAACAAATCAACTTAAGAGCCCTGCATTTGGTGGGGTAAAATTTTCACGAGGAGGGAGGGGGGGGCGTGCATTGGTTGGTGGGAGAACCTTCAATGGTAAAAAAATAAGTATAACTTAACAAGGGAAAGTGACGAAAAACCCTACCTTATTCTCAGATGATCGTTTCTCTACCTGCATCTCCACGATAGCTACAGGTGTGTTGATCTGTTGAAGGTGTCTCCCTTGGCTCTTCAGATCAATCCTCCAGCTGATGTCCTTCAATCTGTTATTCCAAGACGATCTCTGGACTAAGACATCGTGGATTTTCACCTTTTGAGATTTCCAGAACTTCAAAAACGCTGCAGCCTGTTCCTGGGTTAGCGAGCCTTGTTTTCGTTTCGTCTGAGATGTCAGAAAAGCTTCGAGTTGATTGAAATCCATGTCCGCGGATACGATATTTCGCATTAAATTGTCGTATCTTGACAGCATTGCATCAAATTGCTCCCTTCCTAGATCAGGGAAGAGCTCTTGATGCAGAAAGTCGTCTGTGATTTCCGATTCTCCGAAATATTCTCTTCGTGCCAATCCATTCAGTAACCCTACTACATTCTTGTCAGCTGAAGCCATCTTTGATTAAAAACGCGCGTTATTTCGATGAGCATACATGACATAAGACTAAAATTACCTGGCCAGCAGCACTATGCGCTTTCTTATGTAATCTTTTCTGCCAGCTTTGCACGATGTTTTCAGCTGTGAGAAAATCATTGATCTGTAAACAGTTTTTGAAGCTTAGAGTGTGTTATTTATGTTTAGCTGCTAGTAAAGATGCACATGATTTCTATGATGTTACCATCATCGGTGGTGGAATGGTCGGCTCAAGTTTGGCCTGTGCTCTAGGTGAGAAAGTTGACGTCTTGTCGGGTTGGGCCGGGGGGGGGGATATATAATTGTTTACTCTACAGTCTTTTCAACTATGAACTTTCATCTCTGCCTCTTCAGTATTAAGAGGTCTGTGGGAGACATTAGGAGGATCTGCACACTATTGGTAAACCGTAGTGCACAAAACTCTGGGGTTTTTTTTTATCAACAAACGGCTAGAGACACTTCCCCTCCCCCCCTAGGAAATTTATGGAGTATTTCCGAGAGGTTGAATACTTCCAACGATTCAACTACTGCATACAAACACTCTTTTAGTAGTTCTGTAAGTCACATGGGTGTTTTTCTCCTTAAGGACTGGAGAAATCCTTGGATGATCACAAGATTCTTTTACTGGAAGCAGCACCTGACAGACCTCAAGAGATCACCTCAGTATACAGCAACCGTGTTAGCAACATCACACCTGGTTCCAAAAAGCTTCTGGAAAGTGAGTTCCTTTTGATTATATAGTTTTATTACATGACTTGGGTAGTCAGAGGGCCAATAACTAAAATCAACCAATCAAAATGCTCTATTGCCGGTCCAATATTCTCTAAGTATTGGACCGGGCACTGTCCCGAATGATACCGCACTCGTGTCCCTTTGAACTTCAGTCATATAATAAATCTCTTATTAACCAAGCTTTCTTGGGACCGTACTGGAAGAATATCGGCCCTCAGTCTTTTCTGTACGAACCTCGCTGCGCTCGGTCCGTATTGTCAAGACCTCGGGTCGATGTTCTCCCAGTACGGCCCTCACGCTTGGTTAATAAGATATATTTATAGCCTAGGATATAGATGTAACCCTTACACATGCACCCTAACATCAGCGACACATTTATTAAGGTGCTGACAAGGAGAATTTGTTTAAAAATCAAGAAATTTTTTAGTTGGTGATCATTTCCTTTGCTCTTATGACTGTAAAATTTGATTCATGGATGGTAATGTAAGAAGAAATTAGATGCTAGTTACCCATGTTAAAAAGGGTAAAAAGCTCTGGCGTGCTATCACCAGTAGTACTTTGCTGGTGTGTTGAAAATTTATTTTTATAATCTCTCCATGGGTATAATTTTTTTCAGGTTGAAATCCCCTTTCCTATTTGATTTTCAAGTTTACTGACAATTTCTTTAAGATTTATCTTGGGAAACAAGAGAGCTGTTGTGCTTAAAATCCCAATACCATGATCTGCAAACAAGTATTTTCATGCATGATCAGATTTCTCATTCGTAAATACAAAGATCCGTTTAAGTTGAGTAAAAATTATTTCTGTTGCAAGGTATTGGTGCTTGGGATCATATTTGTGAAATGCGATACAAACCCTTCAGAAGGATGCAAGTAAGTAATTAAATTATAATTATTGCTTTTCAAATTTTATCTCATGTTTAGTCACTAATTCACTATTTATTTCTAAGCTCAAAACAATCGAGATCAGTTTATGATTCGAATATGTACGAGCTTTAGGAATCCACAGTAAGGTTAAAATGAAAAACTACAAACAACAACAAGCATGTCTGACTCATACATTCCATGTGTTTTATTTTTTTGCCCGCTGTGCCTTATTGGAGGCACAGGCCTCCCAACACTAGAACAAGAAATTCCCCCCCTTTTTTTTAAATATAAATGTTCAACAAAAGGTAACAACATTATGCAAGGTTGCTGTGGTACTATTTCTCCCCTTAACCCCTTTAATTTCCAAGATCTGATTATAAATTCTCCCCTCTAGCTGCTACACATTTCCTTGCAAATTGGTTATGAGAATTTGGTGTTCAATCAAGGTAACAACTTCTACCTGATGAGTTTGAGTATTCTCATTACCTGTTTACTGGATGATGTATGGATATTATAGGGAGAAGTTACAAGTTAATCACTTCTGGGAGTTAAAGGGTTAAATGAGTTGTGTGTCTTTTTTTCTAACCACTGACCCTTTTAATCCCAGGAGTGTCTGAAGAGGAATTTCTCATAACAGTAATATATAGATTTAGCCGAGCCTAAAAGTGGAGCTCCCAAGTTCGTAATATTAATGATAACATAAAAGATGTGCATTTGCCAAGACTCACCTGAGACACCCCTCCCTTCGTTTTGATAGTCTCCTCTACCCTACCCGTGCAATCTGAAGGCACATATGTACGTAAGCTCGGTCAGTCGCGTGACAACCAAACGAAAAGAGGTTGACCATATTCCATGGGTATGGGGCTCTGCCCCACGTGCGCAAAGTGTGCGTGGGAGTCCCGCTATTAATGTGTTTTCAAGCAGAAAGGTAGTGAGAAAAAAGGAAAATAATCAACTAAGCTGTTTAGTTAGATGTAACTCAAAATTCTCATTTCAAATGCAGAAACTCAGAGAGTGAGGCCTCAGGAGGGAATTTAGTCAGGGTTATGGTGTTCTTTGTTCAGGGCTCAACACTGATGGTAGCCAACTAGCCACAGAAATTTGGTTTTGGCTGGTGCTTTTCAATTTTCACCCACCAGTTTGGCTAGTAAATAAACTGAAAATGGTGTAACATCTATGATGTTACCAGCCACTTGGCCAGTACCCAAGTTGAAAAGTTAGTGTCGAGCCCTGTTTGTTGTTGTTTTGTTTAGGTTTGGGATGCTTGCAGTGATGCACACATCACATTTGAACCAGGCTCTAGGGATTTGTATGGTTCAAAGGACATGGGATTCATTATAGAAAATCCTGTCACCCTTGAAGCTCTCAGAAAACAGCTAAAAATGCTTCATTCACGAGTGAAGGTTCTGCATGGAACAAAGCTTAAGAGATTAAGCTTGCCTGATTTAACAAAAGATTTGGTATGGATATGTGTTTTATGAAGTTAATATTTTATTTTAAAAAAATTTGCACATTATTTGGTTCTTATGATCTTTCAACAAACAAAATAGATAACTGGGAATTACCTGCAGCTTAACTGTAATTCAGAATCATTTTTACCTGAACTTCATGGTTAACTTTATTTGTGATGGTTTTAATTCTGTAAATTGATGGTACAACAGTGGAACATTACCCGCCTCGAATAGCAAATTTGCTATCTGCGGGTCAACATAATCTAAATTATTTTGTAAGAAAAAGAAAATAAAGTGTGAAAGTGTGAATTACTGGTAAACTTGAACAGATAATTACATTCTCAATCAATAGAGTTTCGATGCAATTCCATTTTCAAATCCACCGAGTAGGCATTTTTAGTGGTTTTTAATAATGAAGCCTTGATTGCAGGACTTATGTCAGATACCATGGTTCACCTCAAACTTAACACAAAAATAAGATTGGTTTCTTAATTAATCCTGATAACTGTCTGATTTTAAAGGATGATGAGGATGTCCGTGATACTTGGGCTTCCTTGGAGCTGGAAGATGGAAGAACAGTTCACTCAAGATTAGTGGTGTGTGGTATATATGTTGTAGTTCAATTTTATCCTTGGTTCAAATTTTATTTTCCTTTGTTCTTGGTCACATTAATGTATGATAATGAGTTTGAAACAAAGGAAAATAAAATTTAAAGCAAGGATAAAATTGAACTACAACACATATAAAGAAAACTGATGCTTTGTTTTCCCAGTTGACCACGGCAACATGCATTTATTTTTAAATTCAAACCCTAGTCTTTGTTTTAAGATGACAGCTTTGACTTTGGATTATGTGTTTGTTGCGTCTATAATTTTTATCAGTTATTTGGGCAAAGCTGTAAGATGAAGGTTACCAGGGGGGTGCATGTGCTGTGGAGAAATTTGGCTGCGGGTGACTGTGAGAAATATAGCATGTCTTCTGGAATATTAATAATGTTTCTTGTTAAATAACCCTTTTTTTATTGCAAAGTTCATACTCAAGATAAGGCTTTTTGGATGTGTGTGTTTAGCGAAGTTCGCTAAGGCTCAGAGAATTTCTAAGTTCAATATATGTTATTGTAGTAGTGGTAGTAAAACTTTATTAAAAGTGTCAAGAGCCTTCTAGCTAGGGAAAAATCCCTTACAAATATGGGGACCCTAAAAAGAAAAAAGACTAGGAGATATTTTCAGTAGTATATATATTATAGCTAAGAGAAAATCTACAGTTAACTAATTACGGGATTTGTGATAAAAATAAATAAAATTCAAGATGAGCAGAGGCTACAGCGTGTGCAGCCATCATCCAAGAGCTCACTTATACTGAGTTGGCGTATCTTGCCTTTGAACGACTTGAGGGTCTCGACCTCCCTTATACTCTTGGGTAATTTTGTCCATAACCTGGGCCCTAGAAATCTTATGGAATGTTTGCCATAAGTGACAGTTTCATACCTGGGTAGAGAGTAATCGGCTTGCCTCAGATTGTAATTACTATTGTGTACTTTGAAGATGTTACTTATATATGCAGGACACAGTTTATGCTTTACTTTATACATGAGGATGCACAGGTCCTGTAAGCGCCTATTTAGTAGAGTGGGTAAATCTGCCCTCTCTAATAACTGTTTGTAACTAGAAGTACAGTTCTTGAAAAACCACTCTAAGTCCTCTTTCTTGTAGTCTTTCAAGCTTTCAAGTGTCACTCGCTTTGCAAAAGTGTTATTGTAGTGTACTTGGAAGTCTGAGAATTAAATACCAAATAAGTCTTTACCATATTGTTTAAGTGAATCACCTAGTTCATTACTTTGTAAGATAGGAGCTGATGGTCCACAATCCCTGGTGCGGCAACAAGCATCAATGGATTCCCTCTCCTGGAAATACGATCAAACAGGAGTAGTGGCAACTCTTCAATTCGGAGAGGTAATACTGGTATCGTGACTTAGCATTAATCTTCTGCAATGACAATGCCCCTTTTACTTAAAAAAGATGAAACCTCTTGCTCTTTGTTAGAAAATAGATGGACTAATGCTAATTAGGGCTACAATCAGGTTGTCTTCAAGTGAAAAATTTCCAGTAACAGTCAGCTTTCTTTTCAAAATTTAAAAAGTGTTTCTCCCTTGTAGATCACAGACAACCTTGTTGCATGGCAGAAGTTTTTGCCGACAGGACCAATAGCTCTTCTACCAGTAAGTGTGATTTTGTGAGATGATGTTAAATGCTTGATCATTTACACTGCAGTGCATTCACAAAATCACTATAAATTTATTACTTTAAATTTATTATTGGGTACATTTAACCAACTGTTGGATGGTCTCGAAGTTTTTTCTTATTTCTCTATTAGAGGCATTTTTTGGCTTTCCAGAGGTCCTATCATGGGTTCTTTAACAAAGACTTTAATTTCACATAGAGAGGAGACCTACACGAAAACTAATCGCTCTTTAGAGGTTATACCAAGAAAAAGAATGAACTGACGATGCAATGAGTTTTTTCTATTTTCAGTTTTAATTTATGATCTGTGTTTAGCTTACAGATAGTTTGAGCTCATTGGTGTGGTCAACAACTCCAGAACATGCCAAGCAGCTGGTCTCATTGGAGGAAGACAGATTTGTTGATGCTGTAAACAATGCATTTGTAAGTTTTGAAGGTGAAATATTCAGGTCTATTTTCATAGGTTCTTTTTTCTTCTGAGTGTTTGACCCCAGAGAGTGACTATAGCTTCCCATTTCTCCTTACAGTATCACCCATGAATCACACATCAAGGTCACAAGGAAAAATTCACGAGGATTAAATATTGATTGTCACACAAATTCTCCTTGCCAACCACCTTAGGAAATGTAATTGGTGAACAGTAATGGATAATGTGCCCATTGGTGGTTAACATAGTACTTAGTTCTTATTAACGGAGCGGGAGGTTTGTATGGGAGAATCTTGACCGAGGGCACCGGTACAGACCGAACGCAATGAGGTCTATACCAGCGACCAAGGTCAAGATTCCCCCATACAGACCGACCTAAGCTTGGTTAATAAGATGTTTATGATTATATGGCTGTGTCTTATATGCCAATTTTTTATATTCTTTGTACCTTTTTTTTCTAGTCTGGTCTAGATGCCGGTCGAGATGGGAAAATCTAGACCGCTTTCAATATTGATTTCAGCCAATCAAATTCGTGAATTCAGTAGTTCCCAGTCCTTGTGAGACACAGCTATATAATAACACTCCATATTGGAAAGAAGTATCAAGGTTCAAAAGCTATTTTGAAGGTCTAATGTCAAATTTGATTTGTTTTCAAGAGCCAATATGTCCATTATTGTACATTCTTAGAAATTTCTTAAAATTACGTGACACAGATCAAGACTAACCAAGCCAGGCGATATGGCTGTAGCAGGAGAAAATCTTACATTTCCTCTTTTGTAAGCATAGACTAAGGTGTTATTTATTTTTCTTCATAACTTTTGCCTTTTTTAGTGGGAAGACTTGGACCGTAATCCTTTGGTGGATCAGGCCACAAGAATTTCATATATGTTAGCTTCTTTTGTTCAGCCATGGACAAGTAAGTTCTCTCCTCTTAAATATTTAAACCCCCTTTCCATTTCTTCTCCTATCTCCCTCTTGTTTAATTTCATACCTCTTTTTTCCCTCCCAGTTTAAACCGTCTATGTGAACTGAGTTACTGAAATTTTCTTTACCCCTTTTCTTGGCTAGTTTTTCCTTTTACCAAGGAATTTGTATTAATATTTCGTATTTGTATTTAATAAGCATTTGTACAAAGTACTGGAGCAGAATCAATAGGACATAAGTCCCCTACTAAGTTTAAGCTCCAACTGAACCCTGCCCCCTCCCCCCCAATTCCCAGTAAACAGGCCAGACCACATCCTAGTAATCTCGTGAAGTGGGTTCTTTAACATCCCCTGCCTAACCAAATTAACTAATTAATGGATGCAGGAGGTGGGACCTATGGTTTATTCGTCCTTATCCGAGAAGACCAGTATGTCTATCCATTTTTGATATCATAGGAAGGTAGCACATTCTCCTCAGTTATTTTAAGACCTTGAGTGCTGGTCCGGCCGGGGCTCAAACCCTCGACCTCCCGCACAGAAGTCCAGCACTCTAACCGATTGAGTTAACTGGGAGGCTGTTAGGAAGAGATATTGCTTTTCCATTGTTTGTATTTTTGCCATTTCTTTTTGAAACTGAGGAAATGACTGATATCAATTCTGTATATTTATGAATCAACAACATTGCACTTACAGATGGCAAACTCTAAGCCAAATTTATGTGTTGGGGTTGACATACTTTGAATAAATCTTTTTTTTTTTTTCTAATTTTTTACTGTTTCTAATTCTCTGTACCAAATACTCTTATGCTGCCATTTTGTTTCAGAGGTAGGGTTTGGTACCCAGTCTCCCCCTAGTGTGAGTGGTGTTGAGGAAGATAGTCGAGCAATGTTTCCATAGGGCTTTGGTCATGCCATGGAATATGTCAGACCAAGACTGGCTTTGATAGGGTGGGCAAGTCTTTTTGTTACAATTATAGTGACATATCAGTTAGATGTCTCAAGGAGAATGGTACATAACACAGTACCCAATAAGAATAAAACAGCTGAGCACTTCTAGCTTTGACGTGTTCTAACTACAAACATTCACGTTGAGTTCTTCATATTTCTTCTAAAGTGATGCAGCTCACCGAGTCCACCCTCTAGCTGGGCAAGGAGTTAATATGGGGTTTGGAGATGTTGCTTGTCTAAGAGATGTGCTGTCTGAAGCTGCACAGGAAGGAAAAGATCTTGGTAACTAAGCATCAATCTTTCTTAAAATCTCTAAATAGTATAAGTCTGCATATAACACTAAGTGCCCGTTGCTAATCCTGGTTCCTGTTGTATGAGGTTATCAGGATTGTAGTTACCCCATTTTCTGAGGTTTTTCCTGACAGGTTTCTAGTAACCAGTTAGATTTTTGGTGGAGAAAGACCTCACTGTGAGGGTAAAGTATCTAGCTTCACCATTTAACTCCCATGAGTGACCAAGACATAATTTCTTCTTACAATTATCATTGGAATATTAAGCAGACAAGTGATGAAAATAATGAAAAAGATCAATTTGGGGATTATTAGTTGATCCAACACCAAATCCTCCAAACTAAAATCATAAGAATTGTATGAAACACAGTAAGGAGAATTGCTATGAGGTGTTGGGAGTGAAAGAGACATAGTGACCCATCTTGTCCCTCACCAACTGCTGCAGTGGGAGATGTCTGTGATTTTGCTTTCAAGTTGCCCTGAGTAGGAAGAGATGTTAAATGCAATCTTATATCTTTTTTAAAATCTTATCATTTTATGTATCAGTCACTTAGAGAAAGTAGAAAATCTGGGGGTTTATCATGTAGAATTTTATGCCATGATTTGACCATTTTTCCATTTTCAGGATCCTTGGAGCACCTTTTAACATACGAGACAAAACGGCAGCAGAGTGTAGTCCCTATGATCACAGCTATTGATGCTCTTAAAAGACTTTATTCAACATCAAATCCTATACCTGTTCTTGCACGATCAGTGGGGCTCATTGCAACCAGTGCTATGCTTCCCATCAAGGTAAGTTAACAGTTTTAGTCA